TTAAAGGCGAAACTATCGTTCCTAAACCATATCTCAATAGAGCTGACACACATTGATGACACTTCCTGAATCCTATTGAATGCTAGAGGTGATACCACACATATACATGTTGAAATATAGGCTCGAAAAGTGACGCTGCCAAGCTGACGCATACACCTACAAGCCTAAGGGACTTGTTAACGTATCCCTAAGGGGATTGTCAAAAAAAGAAGTCAAACTAACACTGAGCTTGGCCTAGCCACGGCCTAGTCTAAAGCCAAGTCTAGGACTTCGCTAACGTGAAGATCACTGATATGGTGGTTAAGGTGAAGAGTTGCACCTTAACCCCATCTCCAGGAAATTATATCATGTCAAATGTGGGACCAATCAGAGAGTCCCAATCGCCCATTAAACGGTAGCCACGATCTTCATAACAAATAAAAGATCTCCTTCTAGCCAATAAGGGAAAGAGGAAAAAGACATGATGGAGGATCCTCCAATATGGGTCTGCCACTTCACTCCTTAAGAGGGAATGCTCAACAAAATTAGTTGGCGTCACTCCTTAAGAGGGAATGCTCAACAGAATCAGTTGAGGGACACGCCTCTAAAACAGGTATAAATGGATCTTTTTTCCACATGAAGAAGGGGATGGAATTCTCTATTTCCTATAATCTATTACAATCTCTCAAAGATCTCATATTAACATGATTGTCGGAGCTTCGTCCCTGGAACTCCTCCCGGATGTCGACTAACGATCATTTCTCTCTTTTGCACTGTGATAATAAAAGAAGATACCTGCACGGATCTCCCCTACAGTTCTAACTCAATCCTCTCCAAAATATCATATCAATAAAATACATCACAAATATAATAACAACATGTAATGGGTCCATAACTAATAGACTGGATTACCCTTGAGCCCACAACATATGTTCGGCTTGCCCCATGGGCCCACAACTTACGTTTGGCTTGCTCCCTGGCCTAATCAATCCTTGGACTGAATACCACTAAGCCCTCAATACAAGCCTGATATGCCCTTCCCATCCCTCACCTCGTATCTAAATGCTCGTGAGCCATCAGTATGATTCTTGCATGCCTTCCCTGGCCCTCAGCTCATATATGGTATGCTCAAGGGTTTGTTGTCTACAGCACAGAGCAGTACAACCTCAGCCAAACCCACACAATATGTATACATATAACATATAGTAACATTTTCAGATAAACAGACAGTATCATAGGTAATCGTACAGATCTACCAAACTAGCATAAGAAAACTTGCATGCATATCTACTCCATACTCAGCATAGAATATCACGTTATCAAACCAATAGGCCGGCGTTGGTCCCTTTGACCGGAAAGTATAGTGAGGAAGACTCACTTGTCAAGTAGCATAAAACTGATAAGGCCTTACTCTGAATCTCACCTCTCGACTCAAATGCCTACAACTACAATGTGACCAATTCCATCAAAATCCCGAAATAACCAAAATACCCTCAAAAGTCAAACTTGGTCAACCATGGTCAAAGTCAAAGTCAAAGGTCAAGGTCAACAGTCCATGTTGACCCAACTCGTCGAGTACACCACTAAACATGTCGAATTCCTACAGTAATCAGAAGGTCAGGAAAATCCCAGCCAACACGTGGTGTTGGCTTTGCAAACTTACTGAGTTTGCCTAAGCTTAATACATTTAGTTGTTCCTACGATTCTAGGGACTCCAAGACTCAGATCTAACCTCAAATGCTATCAAAAAAGATAAATTTTTATATTTATCCTTTAGGCTACCCCAACTGTTCAAAAACCTATCCAAAAATCTTGAAGATTTAAGGGATTAATAAATAAGCATCAAATCCTTGAGATCGACAACCAAACGCGTTAGTCGACATCCGCAGATGTCTATAAAGCTGTTGACAACTTATACCGAACAGGGTGGATTCATGTATTCACCTTTTATTTCCTGCTCGCGAAAGTGGATTTCCTTGGGATTCTCGGGAATCTCGCGAGCACAAACGACCTTCGGGACTCGAGCAAAGTGATCGGGGCTTCGGGGTAGTACGGGAATGGAAAACAAGGCAAGATCATGAGAGAAATGAGAGAATTGGTGTTTTTCCTGGAACCCTCACATCTTTATTTATAGGGGCTGAGAGGCCTCGGTACGCGGGGCGTACTCGTGCGTCATGCGCGACCGAGTCCTCGACTGCCTCGACTTCGGATGGGATGGGTCGGGGTAGCTCGCATAGGGGCGATGTGGACGAACCGAGGCCAAGGCCTCACGTACGCTGGGCGTACGGGGTTACGCGGCGCCTAACTCGAATGAACCCGCTGACTCCCCCTTCGGATAATACCAAAATTTTGAATTAGATTTATATATTAATTATTTAGCAAACTTCAAAAATTCATATCTTCTTCATACGAACTCCGTTTTTGATGTTCTTTATATCCCCGCGAAGGTGAGACCATACTCTACAAATTTCGTTTAGATTCCGTCGGCAAATTCCGAAATTATTTTTATTATTTATTTTAAAAAGGTCGCGGTAAGAAAATTTTATTTAGAAATTCACAACTTCTTTATCTAATGTCGGTTTTTGCAAGACTTTTTTCCACTGAAATACCATTGTTGAGACCTTCGATTCTCGTTTAGATCATTCCGGCCAAAAGTCGCTCGATCTCTATTTCGAGTTTTTAGCCGTCTGCCGTTAAGCCGAACTTGAAAAATTCCTAACTTTCTTATACGAAGTCGGATTTGAGCGTTCTTTTTACGTACGATCACGGTTTAATGACATCTATCATAAAAGGTAATTTGATTAGTGATTTTTGGATATTTTATTTTCGAAGTAAATTTTATTACAACTACGTGGTTACAATACTTGACTTTTTAGGTCGTTTACATGTAGTTGAAATATCGGGTTGTCACAATTTGGGGGTGTGAAAGTTTGATCCATATGTAAACAACCATAACCCTTGTATCCTTCCTCCCATCAGCCTCCATCCCTGAGAAACGTTCATTACAAACCCTAGATCATTTTTGTAAGATTTGAACCTAAAAGTGTGTGTTTTTGGTGCTTATGAAGATAGAAGTAGGTTGTAACTCATCTTGGAAGTTCAAGGCTGCCCATATCTAGATTTTTTTACCTTTTTCATTTATGTATTATTGTTTTTGGGTGGTTAGATATCATAAAGTTTGCAACTTTGTGAATCTCCAAGACATTGGGAGTATTTAGTGTTTTGGATCTAGACGTGGAATGAGTTTTGATACCATGCATGGAGTTTTGGGTCATTTGCCCTTATTTTGAACTAATTAGAACTAATGACATGCATTAGACATGCGTGTCTAAAAAGCATGAGTTTTATGGTAGAGAGGGGCACTGGTAACTCTTCTGGAGTTGTTAGATTAGTTGACTTTAAGGTTTAAGAACTTATTGTTTACGCCATGCTGTTCTATTTCTCTTTTTGGACATAAAATGGAGATCCGTGCTCATTGGAGGGCCTTAAGGGATAAAGTTGGAAACTTTATATCATTTAGACCCTAGAATGGACTGGATCTGGGCTTTAGGGCCATCAAAAGCGAAGAAAACAACTTAACCCGTTAAGCTTTTGGGAACCAAATGCCTATGACATCACTATAGGTCTCCACGATGTGGGAACTAGGCTGAGCGCGTCTATTTTGTCGTCTTATTGCCATCACATGGCCAAGGATGGCCTCAACATGGTATTTAGCTTTAGGTTGACTTTTAACTTTGACCATTGGCTTTAACCAACTTTTACTTATGGATATTTTCGGTACTTTGAGCTAGAGTTGAGTATAGGTCAATGTTTGTTGTATAGGTGACTTGTCGAGTGAGCATTTAGAGTAGCGTTCTTTCTATTATCTTTCAGACCGTAACATGAGTTTTCCTCACTGTACTTGTAGGCTGAAGGCACCAATACCATATAACTGGATTATTTATCCAGTTTATTGTATTGATATCATGCATATTATTTGATAGATTGGCAGATCCGTATTATTACCTATGTTCACCGAGTATGTTTTAGATGGGTTGATTTGTATGATTACATGTATTCCTGGTTATTGAGTGTTAATGTATTTACAGATATATTATGGCTTTTTGGGTTGAGGCGGTCCTTCTTTGTGTTGAAGGCCAATATACCCGACATAATGTGGATAGGTTGAAGGTCTGAGGGGTGGTCTAATTAGGTTGAACACCAAGAGAGTGGTACCGATATGTTGTAGGCCTTACGAGGCGATCCGGTCAAGCTGAAGGCTCATCTATAGATGTTGTTGTCTATATTGGATGTGTGTGGAACTTTGGGGGAACTCACTAAGCTTTGCATTATAGTTTATGTGTTATGGTTTAGGTACTACAGATGACCCCAGGAAATAAAAGGTGTGATCGTACAGCTCATGTGGTGTACGTTTTGGAGACATTATGATACATTGATTTTGGAACAACTATACTTGATCTTGGATTTTTATTACTTGGGTTTGATTGATAACAATGATTTCTCTTTATTTAAAAAATGAAAATTTATTGTGATTTTTGAATGTTAAAAGTTGGTATCAGAGCCCTGGTTTGAGAGAACTGGATGAGCATTCGCCTGACTGCAAACTTAAACTAAGCTTTTGTAAGAGTTTACAAAATGGTTTTCTAAATTGGTTTCAAAAGTAAATTAGGAAGGATGAGATGAGTACGATTAACTGGAGCAAGGAAGTATTGCCTAAGTTACCCACACTGTTATTTTTTTATGATGTTATGATAGAACTGCATGTTTTTATAGGCTAGGGATCTTTAGGAATTGCATGACAGAATTTCCTGAAATATGATGTCTGATAGCCTTGGAGATATTTTTATATGTTATATGAAATTGACATCATTACTGTAGTTGCATAGTGTATGCATCGTAGTTGTACATACAAAGATTCTATAGCCTGAGGATGTTTAGCTTAGCCTTATTTCCTGTTCCTTGTTTGGTTGTCGACTTAGGGTGGATTCATGTATTCAGCTTTGCATTATAGTTTATGTGTCATGTATTCAGCTTTGCATTATTTCCTATTCCTTGTTTGGTTGTCGACATCTGTAGTACTGGATAAGGGAGTGGTTCGTGTAATTGATAAAGTTATCAAGAGCGCGAAATTCGCTAGCAGAGTCCTGGTTGTTCGTGAGGCATGTGAGGCCCTTGGGATTGAAAAGGGTAAGCAACTAGGTGGTTGCTCTACAAGTTTCGGAGAACATGAAGTCTCAGATCCTGTCCGTGTTACAAGAAGAGCTAAAGAGGTGGATGCCACTCTATTGTCACTTGCTGAGATGAATTTTGTAGGCTTCTTTCACTTAGGGAGATGGATTATGACGGTTCCGCCAGTTTTGTCGCAATTCGAATCTGGGTGGGTCTTTATCAGACTCCTAGGGTTGATTTGTGTTTTGCACTTATGTTTGTTGTATAATGTATTTGTTGTTTTATGTACTATATGTATAGTAAAAAATGTTTGTCGTTAATAACCATAAACTGTGTATTTTGTGTTGTTCTTTCTATATAAGTGTTCTCTTCTATTTTCTTTTTGTATGTATACACATTTTTATGGCATGTTAACACACATATTATGAATTGTACTGTGGTATCTTTAAGACAGGCTATTCTACCACACACGTCCTTGTTCTAGGGTTTGCGTTAATAGGCATATGTGTGCTTTAGACGTCGCATAGGTACTATTATTCAACTATTCTTTGTTGACTCGTGTGTTTAGTTAGGCTTAATGTGTTAAGTCGTGAAATGTTAGTCGCTGATATACACTATACTGTATGGCCTAGCTGCCAATACATAGGCCAATGTCATCACCTCAACACCTTTTACTGTTGTATTATCAGGGGAAAGGTTATGAATCTTTTAAAACCACGTGTTTTGTGCCATTATTTTTATATATTCTCAACTCTGAGATGTTATTGGCACATTGTAGGTAAACATTAATACTCTTTTGAGACATATGGTTGCATTCTTAAATAGATTTTGCTCAGCTAGCGTAGGTGATCAACCGTTATTGCCACATGGAAAATATGCACAACCTTTATACTTTGTGTTTTTGCAATACATAATTCTAGAAGGTTATTTTAAAATGCAAATTATATTATTTCTTGACAATACACCCTGAATGTCTAAGGGTCAGGGAGTATGCACGGTTTTCGCTTTTATACATGGAGTATGGTTATCTTGTGTGGAGTTTTCCCATATTCCTTTTTCTAGGCCTGTGCTTTATTTTTGATTGAGTGCTCTGCTATGGCTATCTTATTGGGACTAGGTCTCATCTACTGCAAGTGTGTCTTGATAGTTTGGGGTTTCCTCTTATTTTTGCCAATGGCGCCCAACGTGAGAGAGGTGAATTTTGTTATGTATGAATCGAAGGTGCCTGAACTTCCCTTTCTCTTCAACACAGTGCGAGATGCAACCGTGGGAAGTGTCTTCCTGTGGCTTGGTGAATGTTCCCCCCATGCTCTATGCCTGGTAGTTTTCTTTCATTAGAAAGCGTACGTAGTGGGAGGATTGGTTTCTGCCTCTAACTTTAATGCTTCTGGTGCCTATTTCCTTCTTTCCTCGAGGTTTTGGTCCGTACTCTGCATTGGCCAAAATGTACTATGAATTTCGAATCGCTCTCTCGCTGGGCATGGCTCGCCCAACGGTTGTGGGTCTGGTTGATGCCCTTTCCTCTGAGTAGGCGCTTCTTTGCTTTGCGATTTTTGCTTCATACTATGGATGATTCATCTGTAGCTCAGTGCGTTTTTCCTTCTGTGGGTGAGATGTTGTGAGCCTTGCCTTTTCCTGGGCTCGTGGGTCAGCGCTTGTGTTGTTGCCGTTCTTCGTTGTGGATCGTCCACCTGCTAGCAACCTTCACTTCGAGACAATTGGGTTTCTCATTACCTTTATCGTTGGGCGTTACATCCATTACCCAGCTTAATTGCCACTACCATAGCCGATCCGTCACCCATGCTGAATTTGAGAATACCATGAAGAGTAGACGGAATCGCTTGTAGCTAGAACAACGCTAGTCGGCCTAGTAGAATATTATGAATAACCGGTTGGTCGACCACTGAGAATTCGAGTGCCCTTGTTATCTGTTTGGTTCCATATTGACTGATCAATGTAAATGGTAGCATGACTGTTCCTGTTAGCCAGATGCCATGACCGGTTAACCCAACTAGCAGGCCCTAACATGGTAGTTGGATGTGATCTTTCCATTCAATTGGAAACTACTGAAGGCAGTGTTCATAAATCACGTTGACCCTACTTTCGGTATCGATGTACACTTGCTCCGCATGATTTTGTATAATGAAACCAGTGATATGAAAAGGGTCATTCGGATCCCAATGCTCTGCCCGGGGATCGTGCGTTGAAAATGCTACATTGAAAATGTCATGATGGTATACCTACACGCCCATGCGTTGGCTCTAGCGGTTACTATATGGGAGGGGCCCTATGATGATAAGTATCTCGACCCTTCTTTCGTTATTGTTTCCCCTATCCTTTTGATTCTTACGCTGGTGCTTATCCCCATTGAATTTTGCCCTAAGGTCTTTTGCTATGTCGACTATATTTCCCACTAGTTGTTTCTCATCAATCTCCCACCTCAATATTGTGCACTCGTTGGTGTCATGCGTTTTGCTTCGGTGATACTCACAGAACTTGGTCTTGTCTTTGTTCTCCTTGGCCGGAGTCTTATTGATTGTATGGGCATCGTTGTGGCTACTCTTGCTATCATCCCTGTTGAGTGGTCTATACCGCCGTGACATGTGCTTGGAACGACGATTGTGTCTCTGCTGGCTACCATCTTACCTCTCTTGCTCAACTTAGATTGGCTAAGACACTGCTTCCTCCTATTTGAGATATGCGTTAGCTACGACTTTGAGATTGGATTCTTTTCAATCCCCCCCCTCGATTTGATGTACGTATTTTTCCACACGGAACTTGAGTTTGTCCTTGGATCTAGGGACTCTTCCTTGCATCATCCTTGATAGGGGTCCAAGAAGCAGACCTTCGGCGAAGGCACCTGTCACCAGAAAATCTTCATGTATTGGGGCGTTCAAGGTGGCTAGCGTGAATTGGTCATAATAGTCATGCATCGATTATACTTATTTTTTCTTACAAGCCATCACAGAGTTGGCATCCCCCTTTCCTTTTCGCAATTGCATGAAATTGTTAAGGAAAAGGTATTTCAGCTGCTCAAAGCTTGGGATACTACCTGGCCTTAGAGACTTGAACCACTTGCCTATGTTTCTTGATAGGATGCAGGGGAATAGGTGTAGGTGAAGCGACGATCCATCTTAGGAGATGTCATCGTCCATTCGTATTTGTCGATGTGGTCATCTGGGTCTTTAGTACTGTCCTACATTGGCATGTTTGGTATCATCGCAGTGTGCGTGATCTCATACTGTAGGAGTTCTTAACTTAAGTTGGAGCTTGGGCTTCGCATTGGGTTGTCCATGTACGAGTACGACATACCACCATAAGCCATGTGTTGTTGCATTTGGTAGGGGCTCGCATATATCTAGTTATGCATGGCAGCTTGTAAGATGTACGATTGATACTGTTGTAGGTTTGGTTGTAATCTAAAGTGTTGTATTACATATTGGCCTGCCAGGGGAGCCATATATGGGCTTACTCCTGTATACTATTGTATGTACGGACTGAACGGTTGACCAACTATCATGAGGGGTTGAATTCAAATGCTACTGAGGACAGGACACCGAATCGATAGAAGCCAGACCCCTGGCTGGACGAGGTCTACATGCTTATTACTTGTGGCTAAGATAGTTCAGGGGTTGAAAGTGGCGTCTGATGTACAAGTTGAATGAAGACCGACGTTGTTATGGAAATAACGGCACGTGAGACAACCGTACCATGGTGGCATGTGGGTGGACCATTAGGGGAGATTATGGCTGCAACTGAATGGTGTGAGGAATCCAGGTTCCAGTACAAGAAGTGTGCGAAAAGGATTGTTATTGTGAGGCAGGGATCTCTATTTTTTGCGTTGCAATGATCCGAGGAGTTGTGGTTTTGATTGCTACTTATGGAGTTGGGTCGGCTGTGGGGTGCCATAGATTGGCTATGTAAGTTGCTACTGCTTTAGCTGTAGAATTGAATGGTGTTTGTGAGACTGGGGTGCGGTTTGAATCGTGCTCCTCCTGAACGGAAGTTTTCCCGCCATCAAGTGACTGCATTGGGCACACTAGGATATCACTTGCCATTGTAGCTTTCTAGATTTACTTCATGGAATTATCATTCTAAAGATACGCTTAGATGGCATCAAATGTTGTGATACGCTGGAGAGGACTGAGTCGGAACTGTAGGGGAGCTCCATGTAGGTATCTTCTCTTATTATCATACTGCAAAAGAGAAAAACGATCATTAGTCGACATCTGGAAGGAGTTCCCGGGACGAAGCTCTAACGATCAACTTAGTGTGAGATCCGAGAAAGATTGTAATGGATTACAGGAAAGAGAGAACTTCGTCCCTTTCTTCATGTGGAGGAAGGATCCTTTTATACCTGTTTTAGAGGCGTGTCCCTCAACTGATTCTGTTGAGCATTCCCTCGTGAGGAGCGACATGGCAGACCCACATTGGAGGATCCTCCATCACGTCTTTTTCCTCTTTCCCTCATTGGCTAGAAGGAGATCTTTTATTTGTTATAAAGATCGTGGCTACCATATAATGGGCGAGTGAGACTCTCTGATTGGTCCCACGTTTGTCGGGATATAATTTCCTGGAGATGGGGTTAAGGCACGGCTCTGCACCTTAACCGCCATATCAGTGATCTTTGCGTTGACGATCGCCCAGACTTGGCTTTAGACTAGATCTCTGGCCAGTCCAAGCCCAGTGTTACTTTGACTTCTTTATGTAGGGTTTCAAAGCAATCCATGGATGATGGCAATGGGCCCCTTGATGAAGTGTAGGTTAAAAGCCCAAGACTTGTCTTTTCCCTATAAATAGTCATGTATTATTCATTATTAGGGTTAAGAGTGAGGCAAAATGTAGCCTCCACATGAGTTTTCTTATGTAGTTTTAGATTCTTTAGTCTATGCTGAAAGTGTAATTTATTCATCATATTTGAATAAATCGAGTGATCATTCGACATAATCTTCACATTTGTGTTTGTTCTTATTTTCTGCATCTTGTTCATCAAATCTCAATTAAGGTTTTAATCTCTACAAGTGGTATCAGAGCAGGTCTTTGAAGATCTATTGATTTTTGAAGTATCGGTTCTTGATTTGATGATTTTCTGCACAAGTTATTGAAAATTATTGGTATTTTGGCGGGAATCAAAATTCTGTTCGATCAACTGTTCATGGAGACTTGTGTTTACTTTTACTATTCATCTGGTATTTTTTTAATATGATTCGAAGTTTGTGGGTATTTTATTATTAGATCCGATCATTCAAAATCAATTGATTTATCGTTTTCATTGATTGGTCCTATACTATTCATGATACATTTACTCTGGCCCAAAATTGCATCCACTGTTCTCACGTTTTTGAGTCTGCCCATATTGATTTCTGTTCATCGATTTGGCATTCCTTGAAATCGTTTATTGCAATTCATCTCATCTGTAAATCTTTAAAATCGTTAGTTCTTCTATTCTTGAATCGATTTTCTTTTAAAAACACTCTAATCAAAATTGATTTTGATCTTATAACTTGATTTGGTGATTTATACGAAATCAATCCACTCATTCATCGTGTGTCAGTTTTGTTTCTTGATTATATCGATTCTGTGAAGTTAAAATTGGAGACTCAATGATTTAAACATGTTGCGAATTGAGATTACAGATTTTGTAGTGTAATGTTAAGAACCAATGAAATCGGGATTGGATGCTATCGGATTAATCGGATTTTCTTGTGAGTCAATCTAAATAGTCAAAATTGAGGCGAGTGGACTTTCTGCTTTCCTAATCGAAATTGTGATCGAAAGTGTAATGTGAGCAAATGAAATCGGGTTGGTTGTGTGTTCATTACCAATTGCTAGTCAACAGAAAATTCAAATTTGATTAAAAAAAATCAAATCTACGAACGTTCGGATTTGGAATTGGAATCTAGGCTCGCACTCATTTTCTCCCACAACCACTCAAAGCTTTGGATTCATGTTTGAAATTTGATTCAGGTGAACTATCTCGCCATTGAAAATGCGAATGGATTCGGAATCGGGTTCTCTCTTGAGTCAGATTCGCAACTCAGGGCTCGATATGAATGATTGATCGGGGTTGCCTTGTTTTCGCATCTAGAACAGATTCGCATTGGGCTGTTGTCGCTTGACTCGGAACGAACCTGGACTTGTAGTTCCAATCGGCTCACATTAGAAATCCGACTGTACTCGGATTCGCAGTTGGAATTGGGTCGAGATACGTACTTCACTCGCAATTAGAAATCAGATTAGACTTGATTTCGTATGTGAATGTGCTTGGATTCACATCTTGTGCTCGGTACGAATGTGTAAATTGGAGTTATTGGTTGATCGGAATTGGTATCTTGGCTTTCGTCTACGAACATTCCTAGTGAGTCGCCGTTTCATTCGATCTTTTAATTAGGGATAATTGGGAAAAAGGTATTAAAGATTCACTATTGGTCCCTACAACTTCAGCGATTTGACTATTCTGCTCCCTGACTTTTTCGTGTCTTGGCATTTTTGGTTCAATTCCAGATTTTGTTACAAATAAAGGGGTTTATTGATGCATGATTAAAATTCCAACCCCTAGGTTTCTGGAAAGTGACAGTTTCGGCCCAATATTCAGAAACGTTTACTACTTTGAGGGCCGGTG